GAACAATAAGTAATCACACAAAGTTTCATACACTAACTTCCTTCATCAATAATGGCGTTAATCTTTAAATATTTTGCTGGCACTTTAAAATGCATCAAGAGTTATCCCTCAATCCTCTTTGTTCTTGACTTAATTCCTAGAGAGAATCAAGCAAACAGCATATGACTTCCATGCCTACATTAGCTCAGTACACATTTGTTGCTGTTGTTGCTGTTATTCACTCACTAAGTCGTGTCTGACTCTTTGCAACCCCATGGACTATAGCACTCCAGGTTTCCCTGTCCTTCACTATCTCCTGGAGTTTGCTCAGACTCATGTCCATTGAGTCAGTGATATTATCTATCCAGCCCATTCTCTGCTGCCCACTTCTCTTTTTGCCTTCAATCTTTCCCAGCACCAGGTCTTTTCCAAGGAGTTGACTCTTCACCTCAGGTGGCCAAAATATTGGAGCTTGAGCTACAGCATCAGTCCTTCCCATGAATACTCAGGGTTGATTCCCTTTAGTTCTGACTGGTTTGATCTCCTTGCAAAACACATATGTAGCCAAAATGAACGGACCAGGGTGGAATTCTTAAGTCTACATTTGATTGGTAATTGATGAGTATTGCTCCAAAATCTGTTCTATGGGTCCACTGATCAACTGATTGGTGACTAATTCAATGCATGAAATTCTCAAAATTAATTTGCTGCATCAGGCCCATCTTGCAGCTTCACTCAGTCAGCATCTATCAAATACTTCATTCTTTAATTTTTTTGTTTGTCATATTTCTTTCTCTTATTTTAAAACTTCATTATTAGGGTGTAGTTGATTTACAATGCTTAATTCGGTTTCTGCTGCGCAACAAAGTGTTTCAGTTACATATCAACTCTTGTTTAGGTTCTTTTCTCATATGGGTCATTACAGAGTATTGTGTAGAATCCACTGTGCTACAGAGTGGGTCCTTATTAGTTTTTCATTTTATGTATAGTAGTGTGTGTATGCCAATTTCTTTAATCAACTTATTTGATTATCCAGGAAACATATTTTGAGCCACTATGATGTGAAAGTCAGCTTTAACCAGGAATTAAATCATTGAGACTCACTTGCTGCTTTGAATGAAGTGGATAGAAAAGCACATGGGAAACTATCAGGCAATGTGGAGTAAGTATGCTGATGGGGCAGGCTGAACAATGCCCCCTCCCAAAGACATCCACAGCCTAGTCACCAGAACCTGCGAATGTGTTAGCTCACATGGCAGAAGATGCTGTGAAGTGTGATTAAATTAAGGGTTTTGAGCTGAGGAGACTATCTGGACTGTTCAAGTGGGCCCGGTGTTATCAGAAGGATCATTCTAAGTGAAAGAGGTGCAACTGGGAAGGGTTAATTTTGACTCCATACTGGATATGTTTCTGTGACTTTAATGCTTGTTTTTTGCTTTTGTAGCATACATAATGCCTTGCCTCAGGGGATCCTGCCCCAACTCTGCCTGACCCTTAAACCAAAGTGCCTTTGTGTACCTCACAGGGAGATAACCTGGCCCTGCCCCCTTGTGAAGGACTGTGACATTCTTCACTTCCTGGTGTGAAGAACGGTGCTGCTGCCCATCTGCTGCTTGCCAGCATGGCTCAGAAATTCACATTTTGGGGGAGCCAGGATCACAGATAGCTGTGGCCACTTCACACCACCTGTGAAATGTCTGTAAGGAAATGAAACTTGCACACCACTCTGTCCAAGGTTTAAGTTCTAGGAGATATTCGCAAGCATTAAATGGTCTTTTTATTTTTGTTTCCTTACCCCTCCCTCATCTCTGATCCAGTAAAGTACCTGGCATCCAGGCCCCGACAAGATGGTTATTTTGAGATGTTAGTCTGCCATCTTCTTGGTCAGCCAGCTCTCCGAATAAAGTTGTAATTCCTTGCCTCAACACTTCATCTCTTGGACTTACCAGCTTATCATGCAGCAAGCAGAGCAAGCTTGGACTCAGTAACAGAGGGAGGTGGGAATGTCAGAGCCAGAGAGAGACCTGAAGACCCTACACTGCTGCCTCTGAAGGTAGATGGAGGAGCCGCAAGCCCAGGAACTCAGGCCACCCCCAGCAGATGGAAAAGGCAAAGATTTACTCCTAGGGCCCCAGAAGACATGCAGCCCTGCCAACACCTTGCTTCTAGCCTAGAAAGACTCATTTTGAATTTCTGACGTCTAGAAACTCCAGACCTAAGAACTTGGGATCTTAAATTTGTATTATTTTATGCCTCTGTGTTGGTGGTGATTTGTTACAGAAGCACTAGGAAAGGCACAGATAGAAACAAGATCACTTGCAACCAGACACATCAGGAGTTGTTTTAGGGAGCTTAAGTGGAAACAAGGCAGAGTTCACCATTTCTGCGTTGGTTAGATGTGTATGGTCTAGAGACCAACTGCTAACCACAGTGGCTATATAAATTTAAGCTTCTAAAATAAAATTTTAAATCCACTTTCTCAGTTGTACTGGTCACATGTTCAACCACTATAAGTGGCTAATGGATGTTCTGTCGGATAGGACAGTGTCAGCTAAAAAAAAAGAAAACGCAACCTAAAAATTGAGAATTATGTTTTATTCAGTGAACAAATCTGAGGATTTAAGCCCAGGATATAGCATCTCAAGTAACTCTTGAGCGACTGTTCTGAAGAGGCAAGGGAGGAGCCAGGATATATAGATGTTTATGCCCCCAAAACCAGGTAGTCAGAACATCAAATGATTGCTGTTAATTGAAGAGTATATGTCTCAAGTTAAAGAATTTAGCACTTTTCTGTGTTTGGGAACATGTAAGAGTGTGAGCTCACTGAAATCATTCCTTTGATATGCTGTCAGCTGTCCGGGCCAGCACCCTGCGCTCTCTCACCCCAGTCCCCTCAGGGGCACCACCTGGGAAGGATGAGGCTGCTGCAGCTGAATGCTGAATCATGGACCTTCTGTTTGCATTCTGAATTCCCTGGAGTGAGGGGCTTCGTGTGAGGGCTTGATGCTGCAACAGCCTTTGTTTACTGATACGGTGGGTGGCATCCTTAGCTCACAGTAGGCATTGAACATTTCCATCATTACAGAAAATTCTCTTGGACCACCTGGCTTTAGATACTTAAGAGTGTCCGCTAACTTCTGTCATTCTCCTGGGATGTGACAGGCTTTGGATGCATCATCCCAGCCAGGGTGGAGCACCAGGCTGGGGCAGATGCAGAAGCTTCTGCTTGGCTTTCAGTTACTTGTTAATCACGTTCAGCCTTTCACTATCAGTTCTGCCTGCACTTCAGAATGTACTGGGGAGTTTTTAAAAAAATACTAATGCCTACCCAAAGCAGCTGAGTTAGAATCTCTAGGAGAAAGTTTGAGTTTTAGTACTATTAATGCTCCCTACATAACACCAACATCCATCCAAGATGTCTGAAAGGCATGTGAAGGTCTGACAAGCAGGGAGACTTACAGAGTAGAAACAAATTTATCACAGTGCAAACTGTGCCCCATTATAATTTAATAGAACTATTACAGTAATTTTATTTAAATATATGAAATCTGGTATTGGAAAAATCTTTCTCTTTATTCTTATAAAAGTTACTTGGAGACTATTTACAAATATGTAATTGCAGCCAGAAAAACGTGTCTGACTAGTTAAGTAAGTTTTATGGCACAAACCTTACCATCCAATGCCAGGGGGTATGTCCAGAACAAATGAAGAAATATGTGTTTGTTAATATATTTGTGGATTGACTATTACTAATATTTATAATGCTGTTTTAGAACATTTAAAGTGTACCTATAAACATATATTTATAGTATATAGTATGTACATTATTTTTTTTTTTACTTTTAGTAGAAATATGCTTGACTGTTTAGCCCATAAACACACTTTAGGAGTATACATTTAAAACATAGGTTTTTAACCTTGGCACAGATGTAGCAGATTAATAGAGACTTAAGTCATAAAAGCCAGGAATAATAAACAGCTATCGGCTTTTAAAGGACATGACATGGGTTTAATAATGAAATGCCAGTGTATTTTTAAAGTACCATTTCCATAAAAACAAAATTTCCAAAAGTTCTAATGCTAACCCATCAAACAACAGTTCTGCAGAATACAATGGCTCTTTTCCTGGCCAAGATAAAAGCACAAAGATCGTGAGTGAAAAGAATAAACCGGAGAATACAATTCTTGGATTAGTGAGTAGGAACTCGTTCCAGGATATGAGCTGCTTTTTTAGAACAATCATTTGAAAACATGTGTTCCTGATGCATTGATGGGAGTGGCCCAGATCAGAGCCCCTGGGAAGGGAAACACTTGGGACCCTGTGGTGCCACCTTCAATATTTTAATGCTTTCTCTAATTCCTTGTGAGACAAACAATGAAAAGGATGGAGAGCACTGAGAAGGATGTTGCTGGGATTCCTTACAATGGGGGTTAAGAAAAATTAGTCTATCCATGAGCGAATTGGACCTTGACAAAGTAATTTTCCTTCAACTGGATCTGTGGTATAGCTCTACATATTTATGCATTCTATGGTGTTTTGAAGACAGCAGTTACTTAATGTGACTGTAGCTGTATAAATACATACATCATACATATATAAATATATATTATATGTATATCTACACATATGTGTACATATATTAATATATTAATCATAATTATAATTAATATATCAATAATAGCATTACCTTATATTAGTGTTGCATGTAATAATAACAATATAATCATATGCAATTGGAGATTAATTATAATTAACATATACATATACAGATGTACATATCTGTATATAAACATGTAAGTTTCCCAAAAGTAGAGTGTTTCTAAAACCCTTTGTAAGCAGAAATGGCATAAAGTGAAAAAGCAACTATTCATAAGACAAAATGTTTGAGTGTTCCCAAACCCCCCAAACAACCTACCAATTCATACAAAATAGCACAAAAACTGTAAAATAACACTACCGTATAGTAAAAGCGGGAGTGATATGAAAAAGACACAGCCTGTACAAAGTAGAAATAACATACGCTGCGGGATCTCACCCACCAGCATTGAAAGGACAGCCAGCTCCCTGGGAGGCTGAGCGGCGCTGATGGCAGAGGTGAGGCTCACTCCCCGGAGGTTGGGGTGGTGGGAGGCAGAGGAGACAGGGTGCCAGAAAGACAGGAAAAGGTCACCTTTTAACAGCTCATCCTTGTCTGAGTCAATCAGGGCAGGCAGGTAGCTAAGATGTGCCTGATTTGAAGCTTGAGGCTCCATCTGCCATGCTGGCGTGGCCGGTGTGGATGGCTTGACTCAGCACGGGATGCCTTCCCGCCTAGCCCCATGTGTTTTCCTAGCACATGATTCTTTGCAGGCACAAAAACATCCTACAAACCTCCCTGAACATGCACGCCCTTTCAAAACTAGAGTCAGACTTACCTGCGACCCTTGCATCGCTGTCAAGCCCAGCAAAATTGCACAGAGTGCTTCTCTTTCTGCCCCTGAAGACTTCATTTTCAGGCTGTTCACTGTTGCTTTTGATTGCAGTTTGTATCCTCTCCATATACAACTGCATCCACTCTTCCTCTGTCAGATCTTGGTCAAGCAAGGCCAAAATTGCTTCAACATCACCGCCATTTTTGTTCATGCCAAGTGAAGGAACTGCACAATTTTTGACAATCAGAAGACACCTGTAGTCAAGGTTATTTTCTCGATGGTATTGTTCAACAAAAGAGCTAATGTATCCACTCATGTGGGGGACCCTTCAACAACAGTGGGGGGTGGGGGTACCTAACCTGCCCAAGTCAAAAGGACGAAAATCCAAGTGAGACTTTATAGCACACCCTTCAGATCCACAGTTTTACATTCTGAAGATTCAACCAACAAGGGATGATGTAGTATTATAGTAGCATTTACTGAAAAAAATCTGCCTAGAAGCGGAGCCCCACAACTACTGAAGACTTCACAGCCTAGAGCTTCGGTCCACGACAGAAGTCACTGCAGAGAGCAGCTGAACACAGCAGCTGGAGAGCAGCCCCGGCTCGCTGCAACCAGAGAAAGCCTGCACGTAGCGATGAAGACCCAGGGCAGCCAGAAATAAATTAAATAATAGAATAGATAGTGGCTCAGAAAATTTTGAAACTTAAGAATCTGACATAAAAAACTTGCCCTTAAAAACTAAAGTTTAACAAACATTTGTTTGGACCTGTTAAGCATTGGGCTGAATTCTGACCCCACTCCCTTTAAGGAGCAAATTTTAAAAACAGATTAAATGGTAGGTCCAAGGGCAGAGGAATGGTCAGGATTCTGTTAAACAAAGAATGGATACTCAGCCTAATGTGACCTCAGGAAGGCTTCTTGGAGGAGATGAAAATTCAGCTGAGTGTTGAAAAACAAAGAGTTGCTATAGGCATCATTCTGCTGAGTGAGGACTATTGCTGAGGGTTTGGAGGAGTAGTGAGTTGTGGACAGAGAAAAGAGCATAGAGAACTAACCGAATTATATTTTTAAGCAAAGAATTAGAAAAAAAACTTTGCAAACTTGAAATGTGGCATATGCTATAAAGATGACCAGAAATGAAGCTGGAAAGAAAGGCAGTGACTAGGTGATAAGGACCCTGTACACTTTGTTTTAGAGACTGAATGTTCTTCTTTGCACCTGGTCACATCTGCATTTTAGATTATTCAGTCTAGCTGTGGCAGGAAAGATTTAAGTGTATCGGAAATGGAAGCAGAGAGATGAGTTAGAAGGTTAATGCAAGCCAGCAATGAAGAAATTGTGAACTAGAGTAACAGCCTCAGGGAAGGAAACAAGGTGTGAAGTCTGTGGTTATTTAGGTGATCAATAACCAGAAATTGGTAACTGAACAGATAAAGAAGAGTGTGTAGATGAAAAACATTGGGACTTGTTCCCAGCTTTCCGCGGGGGTGACTGGGAAATTGTTGCTATTTCTGGGTTAGTTTGAGTAAGAACATTTAATGAATGAAAGCTTCTAAGTTCAGGTGTATAATCAGTATTGACGTATCGGTTAATGATACAGATAGATATATCCAGCATACTTGATACACGGATCTGAAGCTCGGGAGAGGCATCAAGACAAAAAGGAAAGAAAGAGAAAGCTACTTGGAAGGTCTAAGAATATCGGTGGTAATAAAAAACCAAATAACACATACTACATGAAATTGCCAAGAGAAAAGATCAATAGATAGACACCATTGAGGGCACCTCAATCTGATCAGGTTCAACCCCTGGGTCTGGAAGATCTCCTGGAGAAGGAAATGGCACCCCACTTCAGTACTCTTGCTTGGAAAGTTCCATGGACAGAGGAGCCTGGTGGGCTGCAGTCCATGGGGTTGCAAAGAGTCGGACACAACTGAGCAACTTCACTTTCACTTTCATTTTCAGGGCACATCAAGGCTGCTAACATGCATTGAGAGGAAAAAATGCCTTTGAATAAACGAGGAAGGAAGAGTCAGGAAGAAAGACAGACAACAAAAATTGGTATCAGGGAGGCCTACAGAAGAGGGCTTTCCAAGGAGAGATCGTCCACAATGGCAAAAGCACCAGAGAAGTCAGGAAGAGAGCAGAACCCATATTCACCCATATTAGAAGACTCGGCCCACAGCACATGTCTCTAACTGTTGTGACTGCTAAGCCAAGCTTGGTGAATCTCCATTGGTTTCTCAGGATCCATCAAGATGGGGTGGGGAAGGTTCAGCTAGTGAAGGGCTGGCATGGACAAAGTTGAGGGTGGAGGTAGGATGTGGCGATAATCTTGGGCTTCAGAGTCACACAAACCTTGTTTTGATTAGTCGCACAACTGGCTCACAGGTAACGAATCCATCTGCCAAGGCAAGAGACTTGGGTCTGATCATTTTGTCAGGAAGATGCCCTGGAGAAGGGAATGGCTATCCACTCCAGTATTCTTGCCTGGAGAATCCCATGGACAGAGGAGCCTGGTGGACTAAGGTCCATGGGGTCATAAACAGACAGACATGACTTAGTGACTAAAGAACAATAACAAAAACAACAACCCCTTACAAGGAGAGAAAGTTACCCTCTGATCTTCAGCTTCCAAAATGTGTAAAGTTAAAATGAAATAATGAAAGCAGGGTGCCGGCATGGTCAAATTCCAATGAGAACTCTTTGGGATTGCATATAGTGCCTTCTGACTATGTCCTAGGGTTCCCAGGTGGCTCGGAGGTAAAGAACCTACCTGCCAATGCAGAAAGTGTGGGTTCAACCCCTGGGCTGGAAACATCCCCGGAGGAGGAAACGGCAACCCACTCCAGTATTCTTGCCTGGGAAATCCCATGGACAGAGGAGCCTGGCGGGCTACAGTCCACGGAGTTGCATAGAGTTGGACACAACTGAGCGTGCACACATGCAACTGCCCTAGCATAGCAGATCTCTCTCTCCCCTCTTCTCTTAAGGGCCCCACCCTTAGACCTCCCACCATTATGACCTCACTTAACAGTATTTATCTCTCTACAGGCCTATCTCCAGATATAGTCACACTGGGGACTAGGGCTTCAACATATAAATTGGGACAACAGACACACAATTCAGTCCATATCACAGCCATTCAGATGCCTGACTTGGCACCAGTCAAGTCACCTTTGTAATCTGTTCACTGATTAAGAAAGAGGACCTGAGGTCAGAAACGTGGAGACAGACATTCTTGTAGAACCTCCCCCACTTGCCTCTCCCCTATTCGGCCCACTTTCTCCTCCTTTCCAGCTTTGCAAAGAAAATGTTCTGGAATCAATAAAGAAGGTAATGTTTCTAAACTATTTTTTTTTCCTGAAAGACAAAGAACATATATCCTCCTCTCCCTTAAAATAATGAATGGACTAATTTTCTTTTTTAATGTATCATACCTTTTTTCTTGATAGCACCTTGAGCCTGCATATTAGGCTCTCTTCCTATTGAGTAAGTGTGATGTTATGATGTGGGCTGGACTTCCCAGGTGGCAAAGAATCCACCTGCAATGCAGGAGACCCAGGTTTGATCCCTGGGTGGGGAAGATCTCCTGGAGGAGGGCCTGGCAACCCACTCCAGAATTCTTGCCTGGAGAATCCCATGGACAGAAGAGCCTGGGGACTACAGTCCATGGGGTCACAAAGAATTGGACACAACTGAAGCAACTTAGCATGCCCATGATGTGGGTTCTGTAGAGAAAGATTCCCTGCCTGGGAAGCAGGAAGTTTCAATTTTAAGCTAAGTTCTATTCTAAATTATCTGCAATAGACCAAGATATTTCAAGCTTGGAGCTTGTTTTCTCATTGTAAAATGACTGGGTTGGATTCAACGGTCTTAAGATTTGTTCCATTTCTTATGTAAAATAATTCTAACAACACTGACAAGCATTTCAGATTCAAAACACTCTGCTTCCATGGTCTTCAACATAGGATCTATCTATTAAAGTTTGATGGGCCTAGCTTGTGACTTTCCTAGGTAAGACCTACATCAGTTCAGTTCAGTTCAGTTCAGTCGCTCAGTCGTGTCCGACTCTTTGCGACCCCATGAATCACAGCACGCCAGGCCTCCCTGTCCTACGTAGATATTGTGATATTATGGCACCTGGTACATTCTCTAAATTGAAGAAAAGCAGTTTCCTTTCTAACTTGAGAGCAAAAGGCCGCTTTCTGCACGTGGCAGCGAAGTAACTGCAAAGCCAAGAATACACCACTAGAGGGCAGTACAGTGACAGCGATTCTCCGGTACTGGGCATTTCACCCCACAGCGCATCACCGGTCCACAGGGTGTAATGGGCACCAGAATATCTGGGCTCTAGCTGCGTTATGGGGTGTCCCTGCAAACATAGACTATATAACTAAAAAAAAAAGCAGTGCTTCTGGGAATTATTTAAAACCAGCATGATAAATGTTGTAGACATTTTGACTGCCTGTAAACAAGGTAAATGCCTGAATAGCAAATTCACAAAACTGAGTTGTTTTCTTTCCCTCCGGATGTCTGACGACACAACACGGAACAGCTCCGTTCCGTTTCTCCCTGCGGGCTTTTGCCTCACAAGGCCCTTCGCTATCCCCGTGCAGGGAGCCTTTGTCCTGAAAAGCCCTGCCCGCTCCTCAGGCCACTCTCCTGACTCTTGGTGGGATTCCAGGAGAGCAGATAACCCACGGAGGGGCCAACCAACCTGCAGATAACTTGATACAAAGTTCCACACAAACGTGGCTGAAGGAGAGGGGCTGCACCAATGAGATGCCCTGGTTCTGAAATTTTCATTTAGAATTATGGTATCATCCAGTTGATGG